ATTCAAGCACCTTTCCAACTCCTAATGCAAACATTTTATTTTATTTTTAAGTTGGGAAAGTGTTACTTGTTAAACCATCATCTTGTATCACAGGTGATTCTGAGGTTTAAGCTGAAATGAAGCTGAACTGAAGATTTTGTCCAATATTCTCTAATGGGACTAGAAATAATGTGATCTTTATCATTACTCCAGTCTTCAGCGTCACATGATCTTCAGAAATCATTCTAATATGCTGATTTGCTGCTCAAGAATTATCATTATCGATGTTGAAAACAGTTGTGCTGCTTCATATTTTTGTGGGAACCGTGAAATTATTCTTTCAGGATTCTTTGATGTATAGAAAGTTCATTTATTTGAAATAGAAATCAACTGAAATTTATAGATGTCTTAGCTGTCACTTTGAAACAATTTAATGCATCCTTGCTGAATAAAAGTATTTTTTTAATATATATAATCTGCCCCCTAAAGTTTGCTGACATGCAAATTGTAAGGCCCCTTTGTGGTGACAACCATTGATGCATGAAGTGGAAGCAGTGAGCTGATCCTGAAAATACATTTGTAAAGTTAATGCATTGTCCAATTTTGTCCAGCAGATACAATACCTCTTATAATACGTTATAGCTTCATAACCAATTAAACCCAAGTCATTGATATTTGACATAACAGCAAACACAACCAGCGTACTGGAAAATATTACATCATAGTGTGTATGTATTGGCTGCATCAAATATTTTTGAAAAATGAACTGCTCTACACAGCTTTTGCAAGCAATGTGTACACTGTTAAATTAGTTGAATTGCTGTTGTTCTGTTGTTCTTTGTTCATTTGCGGTGCATTTTCATACTGTGTGTCCTCTGTTGTCCACAGCGTATCGAATACATGGCAGTGACAGCACTGTTAAGATACTTCTGGAGCTGAAAGAGGGCTATAAGGTCGAACTTTGTGGAAAAACTGAGCTTTAGGTGAAGACGGTATGATTCTTATGATTCAAAACATATTTTACAATTAGCTACAACTGCAAATGTGTTTGGTTGGATAATTTGAGAAGTTATTTAAAAGGATAGTCCACCCAAAAGGACAATTCTGTCATCATTTTAAAGAATAGCTTAATGTCATTAAGGTGTTTTACAGAAAATCGCCTCCTCTGACCTAGATTGCAAATGTCATTTACTCCATGTTCAAATTACATTTATTGCATTTGTTTGTAAGACACTTGGGAACGAATGGTGTTTAGCATTTCTGTGGGCAATAGATGCAAACGCTTGAATGAGATTTAATGGAGAGGAAGATTTTCAGCAAATAACACTTACATTTCAGTCTTAAATTAGACTACTTTTATGGTGCTTTTTTGTTGTTTTCAGAGCTGTGCAGCATTCGTCTTCATTTTTTACTGTTAGTGACAGGACTGTGAACCCTTACCAAAAAGTAGTATACTTCAAGTTTATTTTATTAAGTATACTTAAGTAAAGTTCAAGTATAAAGTAAAGAAATAAACAACATTTTGAACAAAAAGCTGGGGAAAAAAAACTATGAATTGGATTCAGAATGATAATCAAAACGTAGATAAAGTCGATCAACACCCCAAAGCTTGACAGTTATTATT